CACATATGAGGGCCAGTGACACTGCCCTCTACAGCTAAGATGCTGAACAACAGCTCAACCTGGAGCTGGGCTGCCGTGAGTCGCAGGCGATGGCGTAGGCTGCAGCCCCTGTGGCAGTGGATTGCCATGGGCTACCGTAAGTAGCCAGCAGCCAGCATGAGCAGCCAGCAGCCAGCGTGAGCAGCCAGCAGCTGCAGTGAGCGGCCGTCCAGAAGCCAGTGACTGATCTGCCTCGCCCGGGAAGAGCGCAATAATGGTGCCAACTTGGGCCAGTGAAGCAATGTCTTCCACAACTAGACTGAAGAACAAAAAAAGGAGAGCAACTTGTCTGTTCCCCTTCCCTCAATTCCCCAGTGCTGTTCCCATCCCCCCAATTCCCCAATAAAAATCTTTAAAAAATAAAAGAATATTTAATGTCACATTGTGTCAAATAATTTTTAACAGCATAGTTAATTTGGACTCTAAGATTAAGACTCTAACTTCCCATAGCTCCGTGCTGAATTTTATTTACTACCAATCATTTCATATCATATAGACAGACCTTTAAACCCCCAATTTGTGTAAGCACTGTCATCTGCCGAAACTGGACCAGAGTTTATTACCTTTAAGCTTACGACATATGTGGATTACTCTGCTGAGAAGTCAAATGAGTGCCATACACTGTCATCTATTACAAAGATTTCTTTATTTACCTTTAATTTTTTTTTAATTGGGAAACTATTCATTTGGGTGGCACAATTCAGTAAGTATATTCACGTTGGGGAAGAGTTGAATGAGAAAATGTTTGGTGAAATTAATAAAAGAAGGCCTTATATTAAGTGCATAAGTACATCATGTATTATACTGAAAAATATGTTTAGCAGGCCTTCTAATTAACTACACCAATGGTTTGAAATAGCACTTAGCAGAAGGTGATAGCGTAATGCCTATATTTTGTAGGCACTGGCAACCACTGTAGTTTTTTAGTAGGGAAATTATATGATGAAAATCTGTTTTTAAAGGAAGACATTACTGGAAATGTTGAAGATTTAAGTCAAGAGAGCAGGGATTGTGAATGTGAAGGTAATCTGACATAGAAGTTTTTGGATGCAGCTACAAAACCACCTGAACCGACAAATACATCCTCTGTTGCATTGACAAGTGTTTGACAAACTTTGTAGCTGGGAATTTCAACTCACTCCACAAAGCATCTAGTAAGGGATAACTGCAATATACAAAGCAAGGGTAGAAAATAACAATCATACATATACATAGCAGCTGAAATACTTCTGTAAATGTAACTCAGATCAAGCCACAATTCTGCCCTCAATCTCAAATGACTTCCCTTCACACTTGGAATAAAATCCAAAGTTGGTACTATAGCCTCCCAGGCACTCTGACAAAGCACTCAATACCTGTGATCTCATTTGCTACCACTCTCCTCCTCACTCACTGTAATCCAAAGGCCTTGTTCTTCACAAAACAGGGCAAAGTTGTTTCTGTCTGGGCACTTGTCATTCCCTCTACCTGAAGTAACTTCCCCCCACCCAATATTCACATAATTCACTTCCTCACATCATTTAGGCCTTTGTTCAATATCACCTCCACAGCGGTCCACCTGACCACCCTACATAAAATAGCACCTCCCCTTACCCCCTCTTCATCTCCTGACCCTGCTTTACTTTTTTTTT